TGAGCTCAGTTAAAAACTCAGTGACTTGTATTAAAAAAGGTGTTTTTTGGAGAGGAAGGTACATAAAAGGGGTCATGCAAAGGTCAGTTGATGAAAATGTTATTACTAGGGGCCCACAGGACCAACAGTTCAGGATTCACTACATCAATGTTCACAGTCACTTTATAAAACATCTATAGCTACTGAATAATGAGAACTGACTGTGATTGCAGAGGATGTTGTTGGTTCTCTGGTGGAGCAGAGATCACAATATACAAAAAAGTGAAAACCCCTCAGGGACCAGGAAGGTCTTGCTTGACAAACTGATGTTTGTCCTGTGTCTCCAAGGTGAAATGGGAGTGATCAAGGACAGGAGGGTTTGGAAGGACATTCCAGGCAGAGACACCAGTGCACATAAAACCCACCTTATTCTGACTTCCTCATTCTATTTTGGGGCTGGGTACCAGGAGGTCCCCAAAGCACAGGTGCTGGCGACAGTCACAGGAGAAACTGTGGACGGTGCTGAGTGGAATCTCATTGTTCCTGTAGCAGTCCACCTCTTCCCACCCACCTTATACCATTTCCTTTTCATTTTCTCAGTCTGACCTGGAGTTTAAGTGTGTAAGAGCTGAGACAAAGTATACAAACACTTTTTTTTTGGGGGGGGGACCCTCGCCGGTGGCCGGGGAACGAACTGGCACTGCAGAGGCTGCTGGCAGCCTCACAGCCCAGGGCTCAACCGCTGCGCCACCAGGGGAGGCCCTATACAAACACTCTTCCATGCTTGTTTTGTCTGTCTCAAAGTATGTTTCCCCGGTTTAATTTCTAAAACTCCTTTGAGATCAGGGGGTGTCATCACCTGAGAGAAAAAAGAAACACTCCAGAAAGCTTGCCTGAGCTTGCAAAGCTGCTTAATACATTTGGCTTTTACTCCAAACCCTGTATTCTCCCTAGAGATCACACTGGACTTTAAACCTTGCTTATAAGATAATAATTATGATTAATACATTTGATAGATTATGTGATTTGTTATATGTTACATACAATAACATTATTATATATTATTGTCATTATTAGTGTGTGACAGTTTCTGCTTAGTGGGTTACAGTTATTATTTACTTCATCTTTCCAGGAACTCAAGGGACAGGTATAATGCTGATCATCTCGATTTCACAGATGAGAAGTAGAATGTTCAATATATTAGTGAACTCCTTCCAGGCCCCCCATTAATAAGTGGTAGGATGGTGGCTTGAGGCCAAACCCCAAATTGTTCCCCAGTTCCTCATTCCCAACCATTTGTGGGGCTGAGTGAAGGCTCTCTGCTGGCCTCTGCTATTCGGCAGCACCCACCCCAGAGCTTGGCTCTTCACTGTGCCTCCCCAATCCAGTTCGGAAGATGCTCAGACTCTCCTTGTGGGTTCTCCAAAATCACTGTAAAGATGAAATGTTCCTGACCATCCAGTGATGTGTAAAAGATCTGATGTTCTGACATTCAGTGGAGGCCAGTTCTGCAGAAGTTGCTGCAAATGAAAAAAGGGACAGACTGACAGCTTGAGGGAGGGGATCATGTTCAGATGTTCCCTGGTAGAGCAGTCATGTCTCCAGCGCAGAAGCACCCTCAAAAATTCACCCAGAGTAGAGGGCTGCTTCTCAGGGCAGTGTCAGGGTGAAGCCAAGTTCCAGCAGCACGCCAATGTACAGATAGATATTTTTTTAAAGATTTATTTATTTATTTATACAAGCACTGGGTACAGTCAGAAGCGCGGGAGGGTGAGAGAATTCACCAGAGCCAGAGCGGGGAGCAGAGCAGGCAGAAGGACCGAAGTACACTGCTGAGGGGAGCAGCGGGCGGCAGGAGAGGTCTGCACGCCATGTGGGACCCTCCTCTGCTGGCCGGGGAGCAGCTGGGGATCGAACTAATGCTGCAGAGGCTGCGGGCAGCTTCGCAACCCAGCGCTCAACCTCTGCACCACCAGGGAGGCCCCTACAGATAGATTTTTTAGGTGAAAAATAATTCACATTTTCTCTCCATCTCATTCCCTTTCCCTTCTTCCTTTTTAAAAAAATTATTACTGATTTAAAAAGTTAATGTCATGTATCTCCCTCCCTTGCATTCAGAGTACTACCTTGGAATAAGATGATATATTAATGAATACAAGAATTCAGTTTGGGGGGAGGAGATGAGATTATGTGCAATTTTGGTTAAAAATGTGAATTTTGGTTTTACTCTCTTGGGAAAGATATTTTACCTACCAGCATTTCCTCAATTATAAAATAGGGTAAATTCTCTATTTTACTTGTAAGATAGTTGTGTCCACTAAATGAGGTAATACACTTAGGAAATGTCTGCCGATGCTTTTTCCTTGGTGACCTAGATGTCCCGAGTGATTTGAGGCTCTCCTAAACATGAGGCAGTGTTGCCACTCCCAGGCCACATTGAGTGGGCCGCAGTTAGCTAGCGGCAACACAGTTCTTGAAATTCTTGCCTGGTAGCTGGGGTCTTGCCTCGCTGGCATGGCAGTCTGGTTTGGATATGGAGGCTCTCAGCAGCCAGTGAGCAGATGGCTGCAGACATTAAGATTTCACTTCTGATTATTCATTTAACCCTTTTTTTCCCCCTGAATGCCTATTATGTACAGACTCTGAGGGTACCACAGAGAGCAAGGCAGCTCCATCTCTGTTCTCTTAGAGTTTATGCCCTCATGGTGGGAGGCCAGCATTTTGTCAACAGTTAAAACCCAACATAACAAGCAGAAGATGGTGGTAGCCCAGCAAGGTGCAGACAACCCACCCTAACCCAGGTGTGGACCTTGGAGAAAGTGACATGGATGTGGATAGCAGGAGGTGACTACAAATGAGGCAGGCATTGGGGGAAAGTAAGGAGCAGGTGGGAAAGGAGATAGCCCAGTTCCAGTAAAAAGCCCAGCTTGGGTAAAGGTCAATGCAAAAGAGAACCAGCAAGCCTGGGGAAGCAGAAGGTTCCTTTTAGCCAAAGCATAGCGTGCCTGTCCATAGCAGAAAAGACTGCAGAAGTGGACGCCAGATCATGAAGACCCTTGTGGACCACAGGAAGGGGTTGGTTCAGGTTCCACCTTAGAACAGTGGGAGACAGGGGAGAGCTTTAGGCATGGTGGGGGCAAGTCCTTTGATTTAGCTTATAGGACTTTGCACAGGCAGCAGGACTCTGGGATGTAACCAAGCCACTGCACTGTGGAGATGAGGAAATGCAAAGTCAAAGTCAAATGACTTGCCTAAGGTCATTTAGTAGCAAAAGTAGGAGCAGAAAGAAGGCAAGCCTCTGGATTTCTCACACAGTGATTTCAACCAGTCTTTTGAGCAAAAAGGGCAGGGAATTATTCTTGCCTAAGCTCTACCCAAGAATATATGAGGGAGTCTTTGTATTAAAACAACTTATTCCCGAAAGGTGAAAAGAAAGGGAAGGATCCACAAGGAGAAAGATATCGTGCAGCAATCTACAACATCCAAAATCATATGCCCTTTAGAATAAAAATTCAGGCTCTCATTCTCATTGTTATATGCTTGTAATAACTGACACTTGAAATTTTAAGGATCACAGTGTAAAATAAGAGGAACATTTTTAAAAGGGAGAGAGAGAAGAAAGAAATGAAGGGTGGAAGGAAAAAAGGACGGAAGAGGGAGGGAGAGTGAAAGGAAGAGAGGGGGAGAGAGGAGGAGGAGACTGAGAGCTACCTCAGCTCAGATTTTAAAGCTATCCTGCACAAACACCCCCACAGCTTTCTCACATGGCATCAGGGACAGAAACATGTATATATAAAGTCATCCTTCTTGGAATAGCAATTTAAATTAGAATGAGTGATGTAACAACAAACCACAGAGGGCCGTGGATCCTGAGTGCTTGGGAAATAGTGTGACATCCCTTAGGGGGAAAGAAAGGACTTACAAGAAGTCCCTTGCTGAGATTTGAGTCATGAAACCCCTCTATAACAGGCCGCTGATAGGAATAACTGGATGAGCAAGTGTTAAGTTTGTGGGTCCAGGCAAACATTTCATGAAGGTTCCCTTGTAACAGGACTTTACCCTTTCTGTTGATGTGCAGGTTAACTTGTCCCCCTGTCCCCACTGCTTCTAGTACTTACCTTGTGAGGGAGGAAGGGGCTCAGCCTGCAGTTAGAACCTTGAGAGCAGCTAGGGAAGAGTGGTGAAGTGGCTTGCCTAGGGGTCTCAGGTTAGAAGAGGGGGTGGCATCTGACTTCAGCTTGCAATTCCATGAGTCCCGTTTCTTGGGAGAGTCCTGAAGGACAGGTTAGCCTTGGAGAGAAAAGTGCCTGTCCTCAGCGCCTTCCTGGGCTAGGCTTCAGGGATGCCACTGCAAAGAATGGAAAGCCGGAGCGACAAAGTGTTTCTGAGCCACAGGGGCTATTGGGCACCAGACTCAGGGGTGAATGGAGGGCCTCTCGCCACCGCCAGGTTTACTTTCTCTCCCCCCTTCTTTCCTTCACAGAGCTTCTCCTGGCTGTAGCTGGACATTTGCTAGGTTAAGTTGTGCCCTATCTCTCAAAGGACAAGGCCCCTGTTTTGTGCACAGAGCACACCCAACTCCTGGCACGTGCCTGGAGTAAAATAGGGACGCTAACAGTCAGTAGATAAACGAGCACTTAGCAATGACTTGAGATCAGTGAGATCCCATGGAGCCCAAAGCCTCTCTTCTCCTCCTGCTGCAGGTGCGGTTCCAGCTGGCCTGGGGGGAGCCTGGGACAGGTCCTCCCTCCCTTCTTCATCGCCAGCGCCAGGATGCTGGCAGTCCTGGGAGGGGACCCGGGGAGCCGGCCGGGGATGCTCGGGCTGCGCTGAGGGGTGCACGGGGAGCCCCTGGCCGCAGCCATTTCCTCTTTGTGTGACAGCGGCAGTGGCGGGGGCGGGGCCGGGCCCGGGGCGGGGGCGGGGCGAGTCGGGGGGCGGGGCGGGGGCGGGGGCGGGGCGCAGGGCCCGGCCGCGGGGGCCGCGCGGAGCTGACTGGCAGAGCATCCTGCGCCCGGGCGCGGGGCCTGCGACGCCTCGGGCGGCTCCCCGGACCTGCCGCAGACCCAGGTAAGCGGCGCCCTCCGGTCCGGGGCCACCGGGAACTGGGGTGCTGCGGGGGGCGCGCAGGGCCGTGAGGATGCGGAGGGGCGGGCGCCCCTTTTAGCTCGCCGGGGGCGCCCTGGTCAGCGCGGCCCCCGGAAGCCGGGGAAGGCTGAGCGCCAGGCCCGCCCGGGCCCGGACCCCGGCTGGGGGACCCCGACGCGCGGCGGGGCGGGGGCGCAGCGGCCGCTGCAGCAGGTGCGCGGCCTGGGCCGTCGCCTCCCAGCCCGGAGGAGGCGGCGAGAATCTGAGTCTGAGACACCTGCAGCGGCCGCGGCCGGGCGGCAACAACCTCTTGGCGCAGAGAATGCAGCGCCGCGGCCACCATCACCCCCCGTGCCGGCTGCAGCCGCCCCTGCCCACCCCGCGGCGCCTCGGACTCCCGGCGCCCTTCGGCGGTCGGAGATGGGTGGGGCTGGGGCGCCGCGGCGACGTGGGGGCTGCGGGGCTGAAATGGAGAGGTGGCTCGGCTGACCCGCTTGGAAGCCTCTGGCCTACGCCGGCAGCTTTCAGCGCCCGCTGGTTGGGGGCGGGGAGGCGGGCGTGGGGTAGGGGGAAGGGGAAGCGCTGGCTAACTCCCCCGGGAAAAGGTTGGGTGTTCCGGAGCTGTGCGGAACTAGGAAGGTGCCTACCTGTCCGTGGTGCCTTCTGCTCCTCCTCCATGGGCACAGCTTACCCTCCATGGGCACAGTCTGCCTAAGGCTGTCTGTCTGGGGTGTGGGGGTGGGTTGCGTGGCTCCACAGGCCTGTGGGTCTCTGTTGGGAGAAAAGCGATGGGAAGGACACTGGTAGTGCCCTGGGGCCCTCCCCAGCCCCGGGAACCTGATTTGGCCTTTGCTTGCCCAGTTTCCAATAATACCACCCAGGGCTTACTGGCCATCCACTCCCCTTCCAGCCAGGCCAAGTAGGGGCACATTCCTGGATGTGCACTCATGGCCTGGGCAGGAACAGCCAGCAGTCCTGCGGGCATGAGGTGTGATAGAAAGAGGGCTGGTCCTGCAGGCTCCTCCTCTGTCTCCTACTTGTGTTTACATTAGGGCAGTGGGTCCTGTTTTCCTCTTGGGCACCCAGGCCACGCCTGATGGCTGTGGTAGTCACAGATGTTGGAGGACAGCAGCCCTGAGCAGATGGGAGAGCCTTCAAGGTGGACGCCCCACCTTCCAAATTAAACCTCTTTGAGTTTCTACTTCCATGAAGGGCCCCAGGACTCCCCCAATCTCCCATGTCAAAATCCTTCAGGAAAGGAGCTGGTGATCTTGTTATCCTCAGAGCTAAAAAATTCCTCACTGTCATCCCAGAACAGGTGCCCTAGTCTGTCTGACCTGGAAGTTAACAGGCGAGAATGAATGTATTCTAACGGGAACCAAAGCTTTCTGTTAAAATATTTCCATTGCAAATGGTGGAATTTCAGGCAATTGGCTGTATGTAAGTGGCAAGTTGGTTGGGTAGTGTTTGGGGGAGCAGCTCCCTGAAAGAACTGACCCTTGCAGCTGTCAGCTGTGCTGTTTGCAGGGGCAGTTTTGGCCTGAAGGGAAGAAAACCAAAGGCGTGGGGGGGGGGGGGCGGGGGTTAGGGGCTACTGTCTCTAAAAGGCATCTATGGGGCTCCCAGTGTCCACATGGGGGAGGTGAAACTTTCAGGCAGACATCTGCCAGGGCAGCTCCTCAGCCACAAGAAGAGCCTTGTGCTTACCAGCCAGCGCCTGTGGCTTGTGTGTGCCCTGAGCCTGGGCCATTAGCTCTCTGTTCACTAAGCTGCTTTATTATTTTCCCCAGCCAGTTCTGACCAGTTCTGTGGGCACCCTAGCCTGCCTTGTTCAGGTCCTGCTTGAGATAGAAAAGGACAAACTTGCTGGAGGCATTAGGCCAAGAATAGGGCATCAAGGATCAAATACAGGAGGATGGGAGAGTTTTACTCAAATCACAGAAGTTGGTCTAGAGAAGGAAGTGGATGTGAACTTAAAAACTAAGAGTGGGCCTCATGGGAGCAATCCATGTCCCCTGTGATAAATCTTGCTCTCTCCTGCATTTGTGGGCCCCCCTGCTGCTGTCACTGACTGGCAAGCCCAAGTAGGGGATGAATAGGCCCCCAGCTAATTAACATTGGGAAGGGCCACTGGAGAACAGAGCCCCTATCGGAGGGGCCGCCTGTATGCTCACAGAGGGTTCCACCAAGAGCTTCACAAAATGGCCTTTTGTAGCCTCACGTGGCCACCATAACAAAGAGTGTGTTTCTTTCCTGGCAAGTATTAATTATTCACTTGTAGTTGATGAAGCCAGCCATCAGTCATCTCATTGGAGTCTTGGCATCCTGGGGAGCAAAGCCACGTCCAGGGTCCAGGAATGGTCCCTGTGTTAGTCAGGTGGGACCAGGGGCAGTGCTGGGAGCCCAGCGCAGGGGGGACAGCCAGCACATGCTCCATCCATGTTCTTATTAAATGAGGGTGCTGGAAAATGCTAATGACAGTTTCCAGCACATAGTAAGTACGGTTACATTTTTATATTTCTTGTTGTCTTGGATTTTTTGCATAGTCTTTGAGAATGTGGCTCTTCTGTATGGTCATCCCATAGCTCAGACTGACCCCTCTACCTCCAGAGCCTTTCTGGGTTCTGCTTTGCCCAGGGGAGTTGGTCTCTGTGACCAAGAACCCCACTCCCTGTTTACCTGCAAAAAGCTGGCAGAGGAAAAAGTGATGGGCATTGTCCCTGAGAGTGACTGGTGGAGGTGCTTTCGGGTAGATCCTGAAAGCATGTATGACATGAGCAGGAGAGAGAAGGGAAGGGAAGTGCTGAGCTGGGACACAGAGCAAGTTCTCACATTTCAACATGCAACAGAGGTCAGGTGGAACCTCTTCCTCCTGTGCATTCAGAATTTTGCAACCAACCAAAAACATCGAGGGTGCGCTTTGCTGCCTGAACACCAGAGTGGTAGCCAGACAGGATCCGGGATGCATCCCTGACTGGCCATATCCCTTTAAACCAGCTGCGACCTCTCTAGCTTTCAGCAGTGGGCAGGGAGAGCAGCCTGCCCAGCTGGTTACCTGCCTGCCACCACAGGAGCCCAGATGAGATCATGTCTGAACCTCCCAGTCTCCCGTGGAGACGGAGACAAGAAGGCTCCCGAGCACGTGGCTCCTCTGGGTAGCTACTCCCCATGCCTAAAGGAACCATTTATTCATTATATTTTGGGTGTCCATCTAGGAAGACAAATCTGTGCCCTGTATATACCGTCAAGCCAATAGGGAACTGAAAAGCTCTCTGTGGTCACCAGAGGTGGTCCAGACCTCTCCAGACTTTGTCTATACAAAGACACTGGAATTCACTCAGAACACCTCTCAGCATGCGGTGTGGACACTGGCTTCTTGGTCATAGCTGTCAGTTGTGTAATTAGGCCCCAAAGCACCACCCTTCAGGCCTCCCTTCTTGTACTCTGGCAGCAGAGAAGAAAAGGAAATGGGTGCAGAGAGAAATTGTTTAGAGAAGCAGGGCTGGGATTCAGACAGAATTTCTTGCAGGGACCCTTCTGGCTCAGTGGCATTTTGATAGACCGATGGCAACTCAGGAACAGTGCCTGGAGGGAGACAGGTGAACATGACCTAGAGAGATGCCTGGGCAAGCCCAGCGATGACCTCATCCAGAGGCCTTGGGTTTCTTGTCTGCATCATTAGTTTGCCTGAGAGCCCTGAGCTCAGGTTTTCCTCTCCCCATGGAATGGAGGGGTGTTGTGCACAGTAAGGAAGAAGATGCTCTAGATAAGGCAGAAGATGACATCTTCTGCAGAAAGGAAAGGTGGCGGGCTGGTTAGGGAAGTTCAGGAGGCTTCCTGAAGCTTGCAGCAGCTGTTTGTGTGGGTGAAATAAGAAATCATCAGGGATGAATGAGAGGATGGTGTCATGTCAGTGAAGGCCCAGCTGACATTGGGGTGAATCCACAAGTGACCCTCTTAGAAAGCACTGGGTAACTCATGGTTAAGTGACAGACATCCAAGAATGAGTCTCAATTTGAGCTCTTAAAATGTGATACCTTGGGACCGATTTTGGCAAGGTATCAGAGGAAAGGTAAGAATTCAAAACTAGAGGTCAGCCACCAACCCCAATGCTATCCCTTCTTAAGGGGCAGAGAAGTGAAGTTCTGCTTTCTATGGCTTGAGGTGGAAACTGGAAGAATTTTCTAAATCAGTCTCCCTAGATTCTGACTTACTTAGGGTACCTTAGAGGACCATGATGTCCTATTTTTTAGCCAGCAGACATGGGTTTTAACTGTTGGTTTATGCATTCAACAAACTATTCCAGAAATATTACTGAGCAAGTAATGTCTGGTAAGTGTCCAACCTCATATGGGTTCTTTGGGTCCAGCCTCCCTTCCCCTCTCCAAAAAAGATGAGTATTCCTGCCTTGTTTGGAGCCCAGAGAATTCATGAGTAATGAAGCATTTAGTAATGGAGTAGGAAACACTGTCTGCAGACCGTGATGCTGTAGGAATCTCGAGAAATGGAGATTGGGATGGGGGTTACCAATCAGACCTGCATGATGGAGGGCCTATCTTGAATGGGGCCTTCACCATGATCAGGCGTCAAGGGTTCAGAAGGGATGAGGACAGTGAATTAGAGTTGGATAGATGATTTGAGCAAAAGTAAGAATGGCCTTGGGCAGAATTTTGGCCTTGGGAACTAATCCATGCTGCCAGTGTGGTATGTAAGGAAGCCTTTGGCTGTCGCATCTAGAGTCACAGTCATTGGCTTGCAAGTTGGAAGGGCCCTCAGAGAGGCTCAAACCCAATGATTCTTCCCACACTCCACACATCACCCCCACAGCAGTGCCCTCCCCAGCACCACCCTATTTTCTCCCACTGGGGTAGAGAGAAGAACAGAACAATGATGTGGTGGGAGGATTGTGAACCCTCCCTCCTTCATAATACAAAGCCCCTCATTTGCAAACCTTCCTGCCTAAAGGTTGTTAGTCTAGGGTG